TGGAGCAAGTGCTATCAGTTATTTAAATATATAAGTTGAACCCTAATGGTGATCATGTAATTTGAACTGGATAAAAAATCATATAAATTATAGAAATGAAGGAATTTTTATTGAATGAAGATTTCTCTTTTTATGGAATGCGAGTGTAGTAAGAGGAACACCATTCCTAGCTTAGTGATGAAAATAGGAGATCATACTGTGCCACAGGTCACCAGATTTAGGCATCTTGGGGCAATACCTAGGATTCAAGCAGGTAGAAGTAGAAGAAATGAAAATATGAAATGCTTTGGGTGTTATCTATAAGAGAAAGCTGTTGACCAAGGTTAAGGGGAAATTTTTACTGTATAGCTTGATGTCGTGTGAAATTGAATGTTGGGTGATAAAATTTGGAGATAGTAAATTAAAAAATGACAATGTTGCATTGGATGAGTAGACAATGTTGCATAGCTTTAAGACTTGTGATGTTGTATGAAATTGAATGTTGGGTGGTAAAATGCGGAGACACTAAACTAAACGAAGACAATATTGCATTGGATAAGTGGACTAGTGACGAGATAATTAGGAATAAGCGCACCAGATAGAAAGTTAGGTTAACACCTATTCTACAAAAGATGGTAGAAGCTTGCATTATGTGATTTAAGCATCTGTGGAGGAGATTTGTGGAAGCTTTAGTAATTGGAGGGGGAAAATGACAGGCAAAACCATTAAAAAGGATGGAGAGGTCAATAGATTTCTACAGACATAATTTACAATAGGACATTATGGTGGTGTTTGATACATGTAGTTGACACTATCTGTTTGAAGATTTGTTTCTCTAAATCTGAATCAATGTCATTACTGAATCTAGAAGAAGGAAAAGCCTAACAAACCTCTCTCCACTCCGAGATGTTCAAGAGATCTGGTTTTCTATTACAAATTATATTCTAGAATCTTCTTAACCTGGCACTTTCTCTCCCCCTTCCATCTGATATATGTTGTTCCTTTCCCTGATCAATTAGGATCTCTAACTGTCTGTTTCTGACTCCGCTTTGTGCAACACTGAAACTGCCAAAGTTCTATTCTCCTTTGCTCACCCATATCTAACACTGACAATCAGCTTTAGAGTGTTTTTACAGGTTGTCAGACAGTCTCACTCTCATTGTTTCACTGGAATTGACTTTCATGAAAAATTCACTGAAAATTATATATTTTAATTATGAAATTACTGGTTCAAGTGGTGTTTGACATTAGATTAAATTATTATTTTAACTCTTAGAAATATTATATTGTTATATTAATTAATTTTAAAAACTAAGAAATTATTAAAGAAAATTAACTCATCAATCACATTAATCTATCCAAAATTTTAAAAATGTATATAGTATGCAATATTAACATGTGTTTTAAGATCAAAATGACTAGAAATTATAAAGATTATGAACTTAATTAGCTAAAATAATTGTAAATTGTTTTATTACTCACATGGAGAAAATTAAAATTAAAATCAAAAGAATAAAGATTTATATTTGACTATTTTGTTAGTAGGATTAAATTAGAATTTAAATCAAGAACATTATAATTAAAACCAAGAGAATAACATAAATTAGAATTAAAATTAATCACCGACTTTGTTGATAAGTTATATTGAGAAATCTCACTTGTTACTATCAATAATGTCTTTTATTTAATCATTCTTTTTATTTTTCATTTACAAGACTCATAAACTTATTTAAGATATTTGAATTCATTTTTAATTAGATCATAAGTCTTATTATAGTTTCTTCCTTCTTACTTGTTAAACAATTTATAATCTCAAATGAAAAACTTTAAAGAAAATAATAATTGATTCTATATTATCATACTGTAATCTAATAAAAATTTTACAAAAAAAAAAAAAGTTTGCACAAAGCGGAGTCAGAAACAGACAGTTAGAGATCCTAATTGATCAGGGAAAGGAACAACATATATCAGATGGAAGGGGGAGAGAAAGTGCCAGGTTAAGAAGATTCTAGAATATAATTTGTAATAGAAAACCAGATCTCATGAACATCTTGGAGTGGAGAGAGGTTTGTTCTGCTTTTCCTTCTTCTAGATTCAGTAATGACATTGATTTAGATTTAGAGAAACAAATCTTCAAACAGATAGTGTCAACTACATGGATCAAACACCACCATAATGTCCTATTGTAAATTATGTCAGTAGAAAACTATTGACCTCTCCATCCTTTTCAATGGTTTTGCCTGTCATTTTCCCCCTCTAATTACTAAAGCTTCCACAAATCTCCTCCACAGATGCTCAAATCACATAATGCAAGCTTCTACCATCTTTTGTAGAATAGGTGTTAACCTAACTTTCTATCTGGTGCGCTTATTCCTAATTATCTCGTCACTAGTCCACTTATCCAATGCAATATTTTCTTCGTTTAGTTTACTGTCTCCGCATTTTACCACCCAACATTCAATTTCATACAACATCACAAGTCTTAAAGCTAAAAGCTATGCAACAATTGTTTACTCATCCAATGCAACATTGTCATTTTTTAATTTACTATCTCCACATTTTACCACCCAACATTGAATTTAACACAACATCAAGCTATACAGTAAAAATTTCCCCTTAACCTTGGTTAACAACTTTCTCTCACGATAACACCCAAAGCATTTCATATTTTCATTTCTTCTACTTCTACCTGCTTGAATCCTAAGTATAACCCCAAGATGCCTAAATCAGGTGACCTGTGGCATGGTATGATCTCCTATTTTCATCACAGCTAGGAATCACTCCATGCAACCGTACTATCTCTCTGATATACAACTATGCACGCCTCTCCAAGGACCACCTATTGACAGGAAGAAAGTGCGCACACTTTGTCAACCTATCAACAATCACCCAGATAGAGTCATTGTTCCTAGCTGTCCTAGGAAACCCAACCACAAAGTCCATAGTGACACTATCACACTTCCACTCGGGAATCTCCATCAGCACTAAGCTCAAAGCACTAAGCTCAAAACTAGCTGCCCTCTCAGTACCAAGCAATCCCAAAATCCTCAACAACTTTGGATCCTGTAATTGCTTAGTTCCCACCTGTCTCAAGAACTCATTAATTATGGTGATCATACCACAACTAATGTGATCTTGAACAACCTCCACCTCTAGTCTCAAATCTCTAAACTGCTCAATCAGCTCCAACTTCCTAATCATTATAGCCGACATATGAATGGATTTCCTAATCAATACATATGCTACCACACTCGCCTTCCCAGGATGATACATCAACTGGAAATCAATGTCCTTTTAGGAATTACATCCATCTCCTCTGCCTCATATTCAACACCTTCTGATCAAACGGGTACTTTAAACTCTTGTGATCACTAAATACACTGAATCTCGCACCATACAGATAGTGCCTCCACGACTTCAAGGCAAACAACACAGCTGCAAGCTCCAAATCATGAGTAAGATAATTCCTCTCATGAGTCTTAAGTTGCCTCGAAGCATACGCTACTATCCCTTCCTGCATCAACACACAGCCCAACCCCTGATGAGAAGAGATCGGAGTATTTATACTTATATATAAAAAATAATTTCTTGTTTTTTTTACTTTTAAATTTTTGAATAATAAAAAATAATATTAAAAATTAATTAGTCTTATAAATATAAGATTCAAACTAGAATTAAGGTCTAAAGATTAGATGTAACACCCAATGATTCAATAAATATAGATAATTTTTAAATATTTTTAAATAAATAAACAATCACATAATGTTTCGAATTTACTAATATTTACCTATTATAAAATAAATAAATTTTGATAATCACTCAATTGATTTTTAATTTTATATTTGACATTATTTATTATCGTTAAATTTAACAAAATTTCTTCTTTCAAAACTTTTTGAAAAATAAATTTTTATTTTTATATCAATACTATTATCTTTAGAACAAAAAAATTAAAATTTAAAAAAAATAAATATATAAAAGTACGAAATACCTATTTTCCTACTAATTACTAGCAAGAAAAAGGCACTTCGTGCCTGCATTGTATTAAAAGAAAATAAATAAATAAAAAGGAAAAAATGAAAATTATTCATAAAAAAGGTAGTTATTGAAAATAGAAACCTAAAGTAGTTATTAAAAGTGATATCCCCATTATATATTAGTATTAGTATTAGTATAGATTTATTAGTTTCAAGTTCTTAAATTTGATTAAAAAATATTTTTTTTATAATTTTTTTAAAATAAAAGGGTATAATGGTCAAAAACAGTGGAGACCAAGGTAGTTACTGAAAAAGGTATCCACTTTATATATTAGTATAGATTTAGAACAAAAAAATTAAAATTTAAAAAAAATGAATATATAAAAGTACGAAATACCTATTTCCCTATTAATTACTAGCAAGAAAAAGGCACTTCGTGCCTGCATTGTATTAAAAGAAAATAAATAAATAAAAAGGAAAAAATGAAAATTATTCATAAAAAAGGTAGTTGTTGAAAATAGAAACCTAAAGTAGTTATTAAAAGTAATATCCCCATTATATATTAGAATTAGTATAGATTTATTAGTTTCAAGTTCTTAAATTTGATTAAAAAATATTTTTTTATAATTTTTTAAAATAAAAAGGTATAATGGTAAAAAAAAATGGAGACCAAGGTAGTTACTGAAAAAGATATCCCCTTTATATATTAGTATAGATTAATAAATGAGATTATTCTAGCTGATTTTCCCATTTTTAGATAATTTTATTTTTATAATTATCCATATACAAACTACATATTTTTTATTCTTTGTATAAATTTTACTTTAGAATCATTTTTATTTTTTATATGTAGTCATTATTATATTAATTTTTACTATTTTTTTTAAAATAATTTAGGAAAATACTTGACTCCTTTGTGATACTACAGATTTGTTGGATGAGACGGTTATTATGAGAGGGGTATCACCTATTTTGACTTGAGTTTTTTTTTTTTTTTAATTTTGAATAAGAAAATTAATTGACTTGTCCTTGGAAGCTACACCATTGGAAACTGACCACACGCAAACAAAAACGTTCACATTTTTCATCCATTTCTTATCTCCATTCTGACCCTTCTATTCTCTCATCAGTCATTTTTGGATTTCAATTTCATGATGTCTCGTCTCGCGATCGCCGTCGTGCTCGGCGCCTTCCTCCTCTCCCTCTCCGCCGCCCCCGCGACGGCGCGTCCCTGCAGGACCTTCATAATCTCCTCTTACTCCTTCCGCAACCCTTCCTCGAACACCTTCGCCACCATCACCGAGATCCGATCCTTCACGCCTCTCTACGTATCAGACAGCAACGACCTCTTCTTCCCCACCCGCCCCCGCATCGAAGCCGAGCGCGTCAACCCACGCGCCTCCCTAGGGTTTCCCTCGGCTTACGACTTCTCCTCCCTCCGCGACCGCACCAAGGACATCCTCAGCGTCGCCCTCGCCCTCCTCTTCGGCGTCGGCTGCGGCGCCCTCACCGCCGCCACCATGTACCTCGTCTGGTCCGTCTTCGCCACGCGCCACCACGACTACCGCGCCACCTACGACGACGACTCCTCCTCCGAGGACGACGAGATCCAAACCACCAAGAAGCTAGGCTACGTCCGCATTACTTTCCTGATAATGATAGGCAATGAAGTTATTTTCTCCATTCTGAGAGTGGGCTTGAGGGTGTTATTAACAATTAAGTTGTCAGGGGAAGACATATGAATGATTTTATATTTTATTTCTAACATGTCCCTTCATGCAAGTGCCCATCATGCTTGAAGTGTGTTGAAATTAAACATTTTCATTTGAAGAATGGGAGCAACGAGTTTTGAACTCTAGATCACTAGGTTGTGGAGGCCTTGATACCATGTCTTGAACCAACTATCCCATAAGCTTAAGCTGTCAGGGAAATATACATGAATAATTTAATGTTACATTTCTGCTAAAATGCTTCATTGTAAACTCTGG